CCGTCGTCTTCTGGTGGAACCGACCTTCGAATCTCTTCACCCAAAACTTCTACTCGAAATGGAAGTAATCTCAACAATTATGAAACAGGAGATTTCTCGAAACCCAACTTTTTTTCGTATATAACTAAGTTAGCCAAAATATATTCGCATTGATAAGTGCTTTCTGTATGTATATGTTTCAATTTCACTTTCAATTTGCTGTTCAAAATAGATGCATTGAATGCCCTAACAGGATTATGCATAAGGTGGTAAGGCCCAGGGAAGGAGGTCTGCGTAAAAGTATAGCAGACTCTGATCAATATTTCCAGCACAAGAAAGAAGGGCGGTGTGAAGGCCAGCGTGGAGTACGAAGGGTTCTCATAAAAACAGCTAAAAAAAGGGCATCCCGTATCCCATTTAATTAAGCAAGTAAAATATTGTGACAGTGAAGGCATAATTGAAGGATGTAGGAAATGTGAATAGGCCAGGGCAAAATGGGAGATACCATAACTGTTTAATACATGTTTGGTCCAATATGGGCTTCACTTGTCTCTTTGACGAGTTGTAATAAGTTGCTACGAATGGCTAAACTTACTGACGATGCCAGAGTAGAGTCTGGGAATGTACCGCGTCCACGGTCCGAATTTGGAAATAATTATGCATATAATGGACTCAGGACAAGGTGCGTACCCTTAACTTTTCCTACCAATATGACCAAGTTGCGAAAAAAAGTTCAAACAACTTTTATACAATGGAAGGAGACTGCGACCACATAAAAGGCCACACCATCTTGGTTTTCATACTTTCGCGACGAAATGTTACTTGGCCAATAATTTGTTGGTTCCATATAGTGCGCATGATTAGAACAATTATGTATCCGTTAAATTTCAAAATGTGCTTGAGGAATCACAAAACTCGAGTGTATTTTAACATCGTCTTTTTTGAAATATAATATAGAGTAAAAAATTATTTTGTCAACTATTGTACATACTTTTCATGATCGAAGTGAAGTGTGTATGTTACTTGATTAAGTCATCACAATGACAACTGCTTAACAATTTCTTTAATAAGGTATATTTTATTATTTAACCCATTTCATATTTAATAGCCTTGAATCGACAAATTTTAGATAATTAAATACCATATAGTAATTATAAAAAGCCACAAAAATAAAGAGGTTCTGTCTGTAAGAAACACTTTAATATCGGCTATCTAGGTTTGCAGCATAAATACAGGCCAGAAACACATACATAATGGTCATTATACCAAAATAGACTTAAAGTTACTCGTATCCTATTTTTAGCTTTTATTTTGACGGTTAAAAATGCCCTTTTCCCATATTTTATTCTTACATATGAAGTTGGGATTTAATTCTCTCAAGCGTTTTCATAAAATAATGTCCAAACTTTGCTCTATAATAAGTATTATGTATCACTGTCTCTACGAGCTTATGCATCAAGATTTTCAATTAACCTGTCAAAGAGAGTACATTTTCCATCTATAATTTGTAAACTAACAATTTTTTTAAATGTAAGTTAATTTAGGTTCACTGTATACATTCTTTCGCTATTAATAATATCAATTTTATCCATTATATACCATCTTATATCATTATTTTTTAGATCATGAAGAAAAGATTCGTTGTACACAA